GCATGGCATAAAAAATTCATCCTATTTTCCAAATGCATGCTATAGATCTCATTGCTAACTATTAATATGTTCCATAAATAAATAAATAATCAAACCATAACCGGATCTTCCGGTGAAACAACACATTTCTTCCTAATGATGCAGGATTCTTCAGTCATTTAGTTCTCATCTCTTCAAGTTCACATTTATCTACCTCCATTTTTAGGTGCAGCACCAACATCTCAAAATCCAATCAACAACCAGTACATGGAACCAAGTGCCCACCGTATTTTTCTTTCTTTTTATATAACACATTACACTTGGATGTACATCAAAATACATAAGAAAAGACCTGTCACTACCTACAGTATGTTTCATTGAAACTTTAGCCGAGCTATTTCCCTAATAAGGTTCCTCATTTGGAAGTCAGCATGAAATGACACTCACAACCCACTTTGCACAGCATAAAGTTACAGTTAACAACACTGCATAAGGGACATTGTAAAAAAATCTGAGCAGCAGCTCTTCAGTCCAAAACATGTTCACAAAAGCATTGAAACTTGTCTAAAAGATTGTTGTCTAGAGAGTCTGCAAAGAAGCTGAACAATACACGGGCACAGCTGGATCAAAAATGTCAACACAATGAAGGCCCAGCCTTGGGTTCATGGACAGAAGCTCAGAAGCAAGAAAGAGTTTACTAACTCAGCAGCCAAGGCTGTGTGAAAGAGAGCAGAGGACTGGACATGCTAGCCCAAGAGGCTCTGTGGGGGTGGGCGGCGAGCATGCTTCACTTCAAGGCTACTGCATTAATACACCGCCGGGGATGTGCACAAGCATACATATGAGGGCACAAAGTGTTAGGTTGCATGGAGATTTGTCTAACATAATGAATAAATTAGACAAGGTGGAATTGTGGAGTCAGCAAACATGGCTTAGACTCAATGGCAAAGCTTTAGGGAATAACTCAACAGGTTTCAACATACTGTAAAACGGGGAAAAAAACATGCAATAAAGTGGAACATTTGCATTTACATTTTCAGTATCTACATTTCAGACTGGTTTCCAAATCATACTGTATTTCATCAGGATAACAATTCAGAGTAGGTGTAAATAAGTTTGATTATTGTTAAACACAACCAAAATCAACTCCCAAACCTTCAGAAAACAACCAAGTTTCGATTTCAATGTAATTAATTTTAGTAAAGTAAATACAGCTGTTTTCATCAGAAGAGAATTTAAGATTTTGTTTCTTAAAGGAAAAAATGACTGTTCATAAAGGAACAGGTCAGTGAAAATCCATTTGGGGGGATTTTCATAACAAAGATAATGAATGCGCATTGACAGCAGATTCTTGAATTACACTCCAGCAACAAGCCAATATGTCTCATTGTGCACCATGCAATGCAATTTGATCATTATGCAGTATGCAGCATAGTTTTTACATTAAAAGGACTGGTGCATGTTTTCATATGGAAATGTTTCATGATACAAAGAAAACAAATGTATATTGTAAAAGCATGCATTGTACATACTGGAACAGTGTTGTAATTTACAGTACTTTATTGTAATAGTGGCCTCTAATGCAGCTAAATAAGACAAAAACATAAGCAAATAAATCAGATCATACTGTATACAGATTTTTTTTTTTATCTAAGATGAACGAATCGTTTGAGTAATGCATTTTAATTTGTATGCATACTGCATAATGATCTAATTGCATTGCATGGTGCACAATGAGACATATTGGCTTGTTGCTGGAGTGTAATTCAAGAATCTGCTGTCAATGAGCAACACTTCTTTCATGAGTTTGTGTAATGTAAGCCTTGATTTTCAAGCAACTGAACAAGTGCTTGAAAGTATTGCACATGATCCTTGAATGTTTCTTATTCAATAACCTTTGGCCACATGTGGTGAAAGATGAAGAAATATTTACATACAGGGATCTGCCCACTCAGTTATTGAACTCTTTCCTGACAACACGCTGCATGAAATCCTATCATCTGAGATTCGAAAAGGTTGATGAAACTGCCCTTCATGTAACTGATGGTTATAGAGGTCATCTATGAGGACATAGTCAAAAAATGAAGAACATTTGACCGAAGGACCACAGAAAATAAGGTTACAGCCATTATTATATCATAAGTTGCTTATGAAAGCTATTGATCATGCTGCAGAGCCATGTACAGGAACCATGAGAGGGGAGCACATGGCTATAATCAAAGGAGCCATTCATCATCAATGTGCTGAATATCTCAAGGGGCTGAATAAGAACTTTCATCTCTTAAAACTCATATTGAAAATTGCAGAAACATGGCTACCGTTGCCTCAAGAATCAGACTTTGCAAGCAATGCTGCAAGAAATAGAAAAATTCAATCCTAAAAAATGATTCAAAGACTTTAGCGAGGAATTCAAAAGACGACCGTTACCTCAAATGTGCAGCTCTTCCCATTACTCAACCCAGCCAACTTTTACTGCATTTTCTTGCTTACAATAGGGGTTATGATATACAGCACCGTCTTTTAAGAAGGGCTCTGTTGCAGTATCATAAATAGTGTGCATCTTTCTGCAACCCTGTGCTGGAACATTGTGTTTGCAAGCTTTTAGGTGCTGAATAAAAGTTATTCTGATTCTAGTGCACATTTCTAACTGTGGTTGTAAACAGTCACTAACTAATTTGAATGAATGCTCCACTATCGACAGCATCACTGGCAAATAAATAATAGGCCTATAGTCTTGTCCTTCAGATTGTAAAAAAATAAGCAAAAATAGTGATTAAAATAATGCACTTAAAGTCTGCAGTAAGACATTCTGGGGGGTCTCAAAGCAGAAATGTGTGGCTAACATGATTTAAAGACGTTCATTCTTTTGAATCAGTGTGCACTTGCATGTATATCCTAGAGCAATGCTTTGTTCCTTAGACTTCCATCGTAAGTGCATTACTGTAAACACTTTTTTTTTTAATCAAAGTCAAAATAACCCCTGCCTTCTTTTCCATTCTGCAGATCTCCTTTTCTTGAATCAAAGACTTGAATCAAAGAATCAAAGATTGAAAACTGCACCAATGTTTAACTGACTAAACTCAGCCTTAAACGGTTTTCTGGTTATATCTGCTCAAATTAGGTTGGTTATTGATGGCTGGTTTTAGAAGGGCTTTGAGCACTTTTCAGCTAGTTGCCCAGCTAAGCCAACAAAACACCAGCTTAGCCAGGTAAGCAGAAGAAGACAGAGGACAGGGTGGAAGACCATCTTTAATTAGTGAATTCGGGTTTTTTTCCCCCCAGAAGGGACATTCTAAACCATAAAGGATGCAAAAACCCTAAAATCCCCCAATGCATGTATGTCAGCATCCAGTTCATGTTTTATCCTCGTATTGCTCATTAAAAGTGTTAGTTCACCCAAAAATGAAAATTATGTCACATTACATTACACAACATTAACAGAATTTAAATTTTTTTGGCTGAACTATCCCTTTAAGCATGACAAAATATTTTTGTGGCAGTTAAACTGTGTGGATTCTTGAATCCTGAAGTACTCAAAGACAAGCTCTGTAACCTCATACCCCAGTCATTCAAAGACGCCATCTGACACCTCATCACAATCAAGAGAGCAGCAATAAAAGTAAAGAAATATCTTTGAAGACGCTAAGAAAAGAAGACAAGAAGGCAGCGGCGTACCCAGACTGTCAGTGCTCTATTTATCTCTACACCAAGATATTGTTTAATCAGCCATTAAAGTGCTAAAGCCATATTTGAGATTAATAATACATGATTATGCAAGATGCCTACTGGACATGTCGGTGGTTGTCTTAACTTTCCTTCCCTCACCTACTGTGACCCTGTACCACCTGCCGGACTCCTCTGGGCTTCTATTGCCTGTCCATGAGTCATCAGAAGTCAGAAAAGCATTATCAAAGCATTATCACGCGTCTGGTTGTTTTGTTGTGAGGTGCCACCAGCTTCTTTTATTTGTCTGTTGGCTTTTTGGCTCCTTGATCTGTTTCTGTTTCACTCCATATATTTTTGCATCCCAACAGGGATCTGGAAATATTGTTCTAAGATGAGAATCTATATTGCATGGTATAAGATGTAAAAGAAAGTCGCCCTATGAGGCCACCAAGCAAGGCTGGAGAAAAAAAAAATTAAGCTAGAAGTCATCTGTAAAACATGCTCAAATTAAACACAATACACTGATAAGATACAATGCAGTCACATAATGAAGAGTGGCTAATTTGTATGAGAGACATCTTGTGATGTACATGATTATCATGGCCGGCACTCTGCACAGCATGAAAGACATTATTAGCGCCAATCTTATCAGGCATGTTTTCAAATACACAAGTCCCTACTATGCTAATTTAGACTATAAGAGCACAACATACACAGACTTTAGACACTTAAACTTTAGTATATTAACTAGCCATTTAGACAAACATTCTGCACTAACACTAGCCAAATTACAATATGGAAAATGAATTAACAGGTCTTAATTTTCTTCTATCCAGTAATTGCCTACACACTACTGTTCAACTGTACCAGTGTTGAAAACAGTTGCTCTTCTTAATATTTTTTTTTTGTGGAAACTGTTTTAGGATTCTTTGATTAATAGAAAGTTTAAAAATAGCATTTATTTTAAATATAAATCAATTGTAACATTATAAATGTCTTTGCAGTTACTTCTGATCAATTAAATGCATCCCTGCTGAATAAAAGTATGAATACTGAATTTTCAGGAAAAAAAATATGTAATCTTACTGATACCAGCCGTTAAATGATAGTGTTGACCGTTAAATAAAAAAACATCTAGAAAGCATTTTAGCATTTTAAGATGAAATTTCAAGTGAAAAAACTTGAAAAACTCCTGCCTTAGCCATTCTGCAGCATTCTAGCTTTATTTGAGCAAAGAAATTGTGCCAAATGTAAAAACAACAAAAAAACAGTTTTGTGTAAATGTTGTCAGGGTATAGAATCTTATAGAACTTTTTAAGAAATAGGTTAGAATAGAAATAAATAACAGAATATACCTGTCAGGTTCTTGAGGCCAAGTTGTCTAAGGCCGAAGTAGCCATCCCGTCTGTAGTTGAGAAAGATGGCCAGGGCGTATCGTCCTTCATACAGTTTAGTGCCTCGAATGATCCGCAGGTTCTCCAGAGGAAGATAGTCGAACTGATTCAGAGCCACCAACACGTAACCCGTCACCTCACGGATGGACTGCGGAGATACAAAGAAATTCACTAAACAAACGCATACTACAGTCTCAGGTGATTCCCATGAGCCACTTGCTTTAGGTAGTTCAAGGATGTAGTTTGTCCTTTAGTCAAGGCTTTACCAAAACTTCATCATCAAGTCTATTAGTCGATTCATCAGACAGCCTTGATATAATTTGAAGAGATAATGGCCCAAGAGAGCGCTGGACCCTCCCTCTCCACACCCATATCAATCATGTTGACATCCAATCACGGTTTCATACTGCGTATCATTAGCAGGCACAGAGGACAGGTCTATTTCATGCTGAAGAAGCAAATGTGATATAGCTGTACTGATCGGACACACACAAACTGGAACTATAGTCACAGAAATCCAGAAGAGCTGAGCAAGCACACGTCAACAGCTGTCACCTGCCAGTCACGATCACTGGAAGTGCAGAGACACACTGCTAAAGATCAGTATGATGCCAAATTTCAGAGAGAACTTCAAGGTCCACGGCTGGGTGTAAAAATTGTGATATGAATTTTAATATGTTTTGAATATATGTTTTTGAGGATTCTACTGAGGGTTTAGCTCAAAGAAATCACAAATGCAGAACACTTACACAACAAATCACATATTTATTAAATTAAAGGAATAGTTCACCCCAAAAAATGCTGAATGTTACTTACACTCAGGCCATCCCAGATGCAGTTTGAGTTTGTTTCTTCATCAGAAAAAAATTTGGAGAAATGTAGCATTAGATCACTTGCATACCAATGGATCTCCTGCAGTGAATGGGTGCCGTCAGAATGAGAGTCCAAACAGCTGATAAAAACATTGCAATAATCCACACCACACCAGTCCATCAATGAATGTCTGGAGAAGCAAAAAGCTGCATGGTTGTAAGAAATAAATATATTGAGACATTTTAACATTAAACCGTCGCTTCTGCCCAAAGTGCGCACCCATAAACCATAATAACACTTCCTTCAAGAAAAAAGTCTGTCCTCTGTTGTCCTCTTACATCAAAATCCGCCAACATATTTATTTAAAACTGTTTTGGACTTATAAATGGTGCATATTTGTCTCCTGTTTAAGACGAGAACTTTTTCACTAAAGACTTGTATTTTAGCTTGAAACAATGGTTTGCAGTTAAAACGTTTTAATGACAAATGTGTTTCTTACAAAACACAACTTTTTACTTCACTAGACATTAATTGATGGACTGGAGTGGTGCAGATTACATTTGTATTATTGTAAGGGTTTAACAGGTGTTTGGACTCTCATTCTGACGGCACCCATTCACTGCAGAAGATCCACTGGTGAGCAAGTGATGTAATGCTAAATTTCTGGTACATCTGGTACAATGGTACATTTCTCCAAATCTGTTCAAAGCTCATCTTGGATGGCCTGATAATATGTACATTATTAGTACATTTTCTTTTTTTTTTTGGTGAATGACATTTTACAGAGTAGATTTTTATATTGTATTTTAAATTGTAACGTATAATGCCACAATATTGTGGTTTGGTAACTTATACATTTATTCTTGTCCAAATAACTAACCCCAAGTATACACATTATTAATGGTGATTCTGGCATTAGCAAATATCACTACTAAATATGCAACCTTTGTTGTTGTCATCAGCAGTTTCTGTTACCGAACAACAAACCAAAACTCTCCTCCAAAACCTTACACAGGCATTCAGGACATGGGCAGAATTTCTAATTTCTTATTTAATTAAAGGATTACTTTGCTTTGCACAACCTTCTCAAATAACACTGTTTACTTTGACACTAATTTGTTTTATTGCCCTTTTGGTATTAAAAATTCACTGGACCAGTGCTTTTGCTGCCAAGAAATAATAAAAAGAAAAAGAAAATCTTGTTTTTGATTGTTTTTAATAGACTTTCTTAAAAACACAGGCTAATTCAATTGCAATTACAGTTCTGTGCCACAATTCATAATTGATTCAAGCTAATTTAGCAAGCAGTAAACAATAAACAATTTATTGCTAAATGAGGTTTAAGCTTTTTAATTTGCCTGTGAAGGTTTTGTTCTTTTAAACAGGAGCTTAGCGTAACTCTGAATAATGTCAAATCACAATGAACCGCATGTTAACTAACACCTCTTTCGCTAAATGTTAATGTTAATAAGCATAAACACAGCAGCTGTGAGTATTAATACGGAAAATTAATTTTGGTGGGTCTACCTTGCATAGTCTTGTTTTCAAGGATAACAAAAACTAAAATTTGCAATATGAACTGTGGTAAATTTTCATAAGGGAACCACAACAACAGAGGCAAAAAAAAAAAAACTAATCAAAAGAAAAAAAAATTATATTGATATAAGAGGTTTTGGTGCTACCTTTCAATAAAACAAAACTGTACAGCATACAGATTCTGTCTGGATTAAGGGTCATGTTTCTAAAGCAGCATGTCAGTCATTGCAAATGTTTCAGATATATTTTTGAGAGATCTGGTCATGCTCTGAGATCAGGGAAAGTATTCCCTATGCTAATTGTTCCTTAGCACACTAAAAGTACTCTATTTTATCTATGCACTCCCCAGGAGAAAAGTTACAGGAACGCATGCAAAGCGCAGTAAATGTTAATGCAGTGATCTCTAAAGGACACACACACACACACACACACAATATGACCATATGAATACTGATATCACACAAGGCTGTCCAATATCATGCATCACAAACCTAGTAGCCGTAAAGGAGCAATAATACTTTAAGTGTGGTCAGCATTATTATGTCTAGGAATGGGCACAAAACTATTTATTTTAAACTGTTATATTTTTCAGAAACATTGCAAATTATAATGTATAATATATAAATAATTATATACATGAATATTAGTTGCATACGATTGTTTATTTTATTTTTGTATTTTCTGCTTCCGTGTTAATTTTAGTAAGTTTCTTAGTATATAAATCCTTTAGTCTATTTTTCATTTGTTTTTGTTGTTTTTAATAAGTCCATATAGAGTTGATTCATCCTTTTAGAGTTTATTCATCTTTATTTCAGATAACTTTATATTATATAAAAAGTACTATAATAAACTACTTTAAAAGTAGTCCTATTGTAAAAGCTTTTTAAGCTCTTTAATCACTTCTTTTCGCCTAGATAGCAGTGAGATTTAATAAATAATGTCAAATAAGTCTCTAGCTTCCCAGCTACCCCAGTAATCTTGCATAAAATTTTAGAAATTTCAATATGAATATCTGCTATTCACATTCACTTTATTTTACCTCTATAGTTTGTCCACAATTATTTCATTTGGGCCTATAATTATTTTTAAGGAAATTTAGGAGAAATATCAAAGACTAGATTGATATTTAAATGTAAGAGAACGTCTAGGTTACTTGTGTAACCCTCGTTCCCTGAAGGAGGGAACGGAGACGTTACGTCAGTGACTGACAAATTGGGATCTCGCCCGAGAGCCCAATCCCCTTCGAGTGTTAACAAAACAAGCCAATGACAGTTGGCGTGCGTGTTTCGCCACGCGCACCCCGCCCCGCAGCGCGGGTATAAAAGGAGAGCGCGTGCAAACGCACATCAGTTTTTCGCTGAGGAGCCGAGACTACGTGCCCCGGCCGTACAGCGGTGGTACAGCAACTGTGGCTACGGAACGTAACGTCTCCGTTCCCTCCTTCAGGGAACGAGGGTTACACCTTCCAAGATACAAAAAAATAAATAAAAATTTCTGAAATTGTGAGTAAAACATCTTCAGCAAATAATAAATATTTGGAGTTCTAATGACTTTATAATCTACATTTCACTGTCTCGTTTCAAATACTTGACTGTCTTTGGTGAAAGCATGATGAAAGTTTGCTGACATCTTTATTGAGAGCATTTTTATTTTTTTGATCGAGACATCAACAGAAGTAACAGGAGAATATTCAGAACAAACAAAACAACTCCAGTTACAAGCGAGAAAGTGGCAGGAGATCATTTTTCGTGAGAGATATGAGACGGCGAATGAGGAGGGTAGTTGACAGAACCCCGCAGTGAGAAGTGGGAAGAGTTTCAGGGTCACAATCATCCATTTTTAGATGACAGAATGTGGCGAAGGCGTCTTTATGAGCAGGCACTCTCTGTTCTGTATTCAAACTGAAGAAAAACACAATATAAATGTCATCGCTATTGTTAAATGCAATCTGTTTGTTCCACTCCATGTGGCAAGCTACATGACACTGCACATATTTGCCTGAAACTAGCTCTCACTAGCAAATATTAAAAATCCATAAAGGAAAACAAATTGAAGGGCTAAATTAAGCAGCATTGAAGACACATTTTAATAACAATGCATGTTGTAAGCAAAGTTTGGTCTTCCATAACTCAAATAATAGGACTTCCTTTAGCGCTCGGCGTCTCAGACGATCATTACCTTCATTTAAATAGCAATCATGACCTTTACGAGTATCTTTACAAACAACAGCAATCACTCAACCACTGGAGAAGAGAGCTGGCATATTGTGAATGATAAACCATAACTACATTTTGGAAAATAGCTATGAATCGAAATGCATTACACTGAATGTGACTCATAGAAAAACTCATCTTTTTTTAAACCAAGAAATGGTTTTACAACATTGACTCTGTGCTAAAATCAATCTGCAGGGCAAGAAGCTTTCAGAAAAAGATTCTGTGTAATTGATTTAGAATTCATTACACTTCAGCTTCGTCTATGCCAGGGTCAATATTGTCGAATATGACAGATTAAGATACACAGTTCAACTATCATTCATATGAATGCTGTGCATTCAATTAAGGTCATTTTTATTGTCAGCACTTTTCGTGTAGCTGTTATAATATTCAGGTGTCTATAATTGCTGTGAGGAATTCATTTAACCTCAGAGATAATTTCATAACACTGGTGAATGTAATGCGACTTAGATAGCCATGTATAAACTGAACGGATACACTTCGCATGAGTGTTGTTTTTCTTAACTAAAACTAAAAACAAAAGTATTTTCTAGTAAATCATACTCCAATAATCTCATCAAAC